TATTTCAAATTCCTTAATAATTCTATATACATCAATTTTCTAAAAAATTATAAAAAAATAAATCATTATAAAACATACAGAATTATAATATGGAATCATCAATTATATATACAAATCTTATAAAAAATGTATCATTTCTTTATTTTGATTTCTTATAGGGAAAACAATATAGAAAATCATTTTAAAGGAATGATAGTTTGATCATTCCAATAGAATGATAAAAAAATTGTTTTAAAGGAACGATGAAGTATCGTTTTAAAAGAACAATAAAAATAATCATTATTCTGAAAGAATGATGATAAATCATTCCAAAAGAATGATAAAAAATCATCGTTCTTTCGGAATGATGATATATTATTTCAAAAAAATGATAAAAAAATCATCATTCTTTCAGAACAATGATGAATCGTCTGAAAGAACGATAAAAAACATCATTCTTTTAGAATGATGAAATATCGTTCCTTAAAAATGATGAAAAAATATCATTCTTTTAGAACAATAATTGAATCGTTTCTTTAGGATGATTTTCATTGTCTCTTTAGGAATAATTATATCATTCCTTTTAAGATAATTTCTATTATCTTTTTTGGAATGATTTTATCATTCCTTTAGAGACAATTTTTATTGTCTCTTTAAGAAGAATTGTTCATTCCTTTAGGGACGATTTCTATCATTTCTTTGGGAATGATTGTTCATTCCTTTAAAAACGATTTCCACCGTCTCTTTAGAAATGATTGTATCGTTCCTTTTGAGATGATTTCTATTGTCTCTTTGAAATGAACAATTATTTCTTTTAAGATAATTTCCATCATTCCTTTTGGGACAATTTCTATCATCTTTTTAGGAATGATTATTCGTTTATTTAGAGACAATTTCTATCATCTCTTTGGGACGATTACTCTCAAAATGTTTTTATAATTTTGCAAAATCAGCTTAACAGATTTTGACCAGTGAGATACAGTCGATTTGTTGCCAAATCTTGAGTCTAACTGAAATTTTGCTGAATATTATAACCGAAAGATCTTAATGCCAAAATAATGCTAAATTATATGCAGTGTAATAAATGACTATTGATTTTTGTAACTTAAGCCAAATTTTTGCTGAATCACATGACTGAATCGGCTGAATGTTAATTGAATAGTATTAATGCCAAAAAAATGATTTTGACTAGTGATTCTTAAACTATTGATTTGTAATATTATTTGTTTCTGTCTAAAGCTCTAGCATCTTAACCTTAGATTTTGTGAAATTAGTGATATAACTATCAAAGAAATTGCTTATTTATATCTTAATTTAAAATATCTTGATCTGAAAGGATGTGAAAATATTAGTAAAGAAGCCATAGATCAGCTTATATCACTCAATTCAAATATCCATGTCAAGAATTTCGTGGATACTATAATAACTTCTGATCTAATTGAAATACTTAATAATTTACTTAGTCAATATTTTAATACATCTATAGCTATAAATAGACAATTTTTGATTCAAGGTATTATTTTTACCTTAATGTCAAGAGTTAATGATAAAATACTAGCTGATCAAGCAGAATGGTGGTACTCTACTGATCTAACTAATCTGGAGTAGTGATTACCAGCTTAGAAGATTTTTTGCTGAGTCACAAATTGTGTGACAAAAAAGCTGATCATTTGTACGACATTTGCACATATTAATTTCACATATATATTCACTATCCAATACGTCTATCTTTTTTTCCACAACAAATATGAGAAAAATGTGAAAGAAAATCTAGTTGCAATACATGACCTACCATATAAGTAAATAGTAATGACAAAAGTATGTTATGAAAGGCTGAAGGACTTGCAATTTCAAGATCGTTAGGCGTAAAACCAACTATATATCTTGTAGGATAGATCTACATGTGAAAAGGTATGAAGATTCTATTTGCATATGCTTTCATAGAACTCTTGATATCAGATAATAATACTAATTATGCCTCATATTTTCTTAACTTTTCTTTAGCAAGATATAAAGTATGTAAAAGTATGTAGAAGTTTAGCTAACTTTCTGCAAAACTTTCCCGTAAAATAACGTAAAATAAGATATGTATATGCCCTAAATTATGTATGTATAGGAGTGAGTTTTTTCTTACTAGGAGCCTTGTATTTAGGAAAGCAAAATGACCGATATTACTTTCAATTGTTTTATCATTCTGGTGGGAGATTTTAATAATATCTAATGTAATGCAATATACCAAACAATTACAATTAGTACAAGTTAACTGGTCAGTAATCTTATAAATACAATTAGAGGCAGATTGGAGTTAGAAGATGTTTCTTTAAGCCTTTATCAAGTTCATCTCGAGAGTATTCAAGAAAAGAAAATAGATCTTATGCTTCTAATTTCTAAATATTATAAAGAATAACTTCAAGCAGAATTCTTCTATGTCACTGTATATTCTCGTTAATAATTCACAGTACTATGTAGTAATATATTCACAATTTTTTATGTATTAGTTGCTTAAATAAAGCAGATACTATGTTCTTGTCATAAATCTTGAAAAATGTCACGTGTAATGGATGATGTAATATAATAGTCTGACAATTTTATACTACATCTTAATTGTATATATATTGTGCAAAAGCATTATGAATCGATACAAAAAAAAATCTATCATTTCTATCTGAGCACTTTATACTGAAAACAAAAAATACTTTTATATTCATAAACTAGCTTTACTTGTAACTGCAGTCAAGTGCATATTTTTTCGCAAGCATAAACTCACATATATAAAAACAATGTTTTCACAAGCTTCTTTACCTACTTCACCTTCCTCAATAATAGAAGAAATATCCACTAGAACAATATCAGACGTGATTAAGGATTTTGATATAGAGAAGCTTATTGATTATTTGGAAAGGAAAGACCGAAAGCTCAAGGAGACTCACTTTAAAATTTTACGCAAGAAAAAAATCACCAGTCTAGCCTTTCTCAAATTAACTAAAGAGGACTTTCATAATATTTGCTTTACATTAGATTCAGTAACAGTTCTCGTGGAATTCATTGAAGTTTGCTTAAATCTCTTGATGACTTGAAAGAAATGTTACGTAGAAATAAGATCAATAAGAAAGATATATTAAACATCAATCAGTTTACTCCTGGTAGGTAGAGCTCCGAATCAGGTCAGGTCAACCTGTGACCCGACCCGACCCGACCTGAAAAATCCAGGTCGGATAGACAAATTTTCAGGTCAACATCAGGTCGGGTCAAGCTTATGACGACCTGATAAAATTCAGGTCAACCAATCAAATTAAACGAAATAAAATATTTAAAAAAAATTTTTTTTTTTGTCTATTTTTTTTTTAAAACATCTTTA